GGGGTTTGGTATCCGAAAGGGTTTACCGCCAAGCGCATTGTATCCAAAAGGTTTTCTCTATTCTCTTGAGATAAAGTATGAGCTGACTCGCGACAGCGGATGAGTCATTGATAGTCCCTAAAGCGGAATAGCTTTTCCCATAGAGCGCAAAGCGGGGGTGTTCTCTCGGGAATTCGTGTCAAATTGCGAAAATATAATCTTAAACTAACTTTCTACGAGGAGCTCCAGCCGCCGCTCCTCAGTTAATAGTAAATTTGGTAAGGCTCGCACACTTTCTAACATATGGGACATGAGAAAGTTTAAACCGTCAGTTCGGGTGCTGAAAAGTGCATGAAAGATTTTCACACTCCCCTTTCAATCCTCTTTCTACGAGTACCTATACCTATACTCGAGTACTCAATTGTTCCCCACCCGGTCGAGGCCCCCAGGGAATTTTCCTTCTATCCTCCGTCTCACCTTCCCTATTTCAAGGCCCCATCGAAGATATGAAAACATCAAGTACGGGGCTGGATATTGGGGCGATGAACGACACGCGGCAGCGACCACGAGGAACCACTTCCCTGAGCGTTGTCTTCGGCTTGTTCAATTTTTTTCCTGTTGCCCACATTCACCTGGATTACCACTTGCCAATAATATCAAACACGGTTTCTACCTACTACGAGCCTCAGAGTCACTTCGATACAGTCGAGCGTGCTGGTGAGGCAGCTACCGTTTCCAGTCCCAACCTCACTTATCGCACGCAGCCCTCGATATCGCACCTGACCCCCATTACTTCTGTTTCTATCGGGTTCCCCGTCTCCCCCACCGGTCTTTACTTTCGCTCGTTCGCATTCGGTCCAGACCTCTTCCTATCGCATTCCGCCGTCTGCTACATGATATTCATACCCGGCTTCCTGGCCTTCTCAGCAAGTTTGCGGTATGCAGATATCGGTTAACCTTCGAACCCTCTCCGCTGCGTGCCTTATCCGAATGAAAATGTACCCGGTCTACGGCCGGGATGACAGGGATCTGGGGTGGGGTTCCATGTGCATTACTCTATCCAGGTGCCGTGATCAAGCATCTTGCCGGTACCAGTCCACCATCCTATCTGCTTTTGCTCCCGCCCCGCAGTTACCATCTATTCCAGTCCCGCATCTCACATTTGTCCCTGTCACGAACGCCGCATCTTCCCGCCGACCGCTTCCCTGACCTTGCGTAGCCTTGCGGCGTGGGGCCGTGACGAACTTCGTGAGTGCTGTTGGGCATCGCCTGCGTTTCTCGCTTCAAGGCCTACAAGGGGTCTAGTCTTTCTTATGGATACCCTCGCGTGTTGTGGTATACAATAGAGGCCGACTAGAACCTACCGCCCACCTGGCCCAATCCTGGGGATGCGGGGGTGGGGGGGTGGGACTTTCCGGACTGGTGGGACTTTCCGGACTCTTAATAGAACTTTAAACTATTTTCTTCTCTTTTCTTCCCTCCTCTTCCCTCATTCCCCGCAGCCCACCCACGGTACGTCCTTGTTAGTCGTTGGGGTGTCTCTATTTCTGCGGCACGTCCGCAGATATCCTTTCTGGTTCCTTGCCGTACTCGTGAAAGAACCTCTTCCCCCCGCCAACATATTTAACTATTCAAAGTGGGAGGGTTCGTTAACCTCTATGGAGCTGACCATTTTGCCCTATCTCAATCATCTTATAATTTTCTTCTTTCGAGTTTTCCCGTTTTCTGCATCTCTTGAGATTGCCGTCCCCATCAGAGATTTTCTATTAGTCACAGTCTACTACTTTTGTGCCCTTTTCCTTGGGCTTCTAATTATGAGTGATTATGGAGAAGGACCAACTAGGGCAGAAACAGCGCACTCCCCCTCGTTCCCAGTCCGCCGGGCGTCTGGCCCTTGGCCCTCACATAACCAAATCCTTTACCGTCCCAAACCCCATGACCTCCGAACTCCCTCACTAGGGCCCAATCTACTACATTGGTTACTCGCTTCACCAGACAGATTCTTTCAATTCCCGTCGTTCAGAATAGCGATGGGCAACCTGTAGTGACAATTGATCCTACCCCTGTATCTACATGTTTTCTACT